CACTCCTGACACCAATTGTTACGAACTTGGGGTTCGTGACAATAAAAACTGCCGATGGAATTACCAAAATTGACACTTTAATTACCGACACCAATTAAAACTTAAAACACACCAATAATTAATCACACTTAACACTTAATTCACTATATTTCGCTCCGAAGTCTTCGCTTTTGTCGGCAATTCAATGCTGCCCCGGTCGCGGCCCTAAACGCCTTTGTATAGACCTTTTCCACCGAAACATCTAGAATTTTCCAGCAAATACCGTTCCCAACTGACTAGATGTAGCAAATTCGAGTGTGGAGTTTTCTAGAAAGCTTAGTTCTTCTATTCGATACATGATGGCGCTAGTGGGAGAGTTCTAGAAAGATATTGACGCTCCTATTTCTGCAGCTTGATACCATGTGGCGCTAATAATCAGCCGCCATATACTGCGCGCAAATTATAGCGCGCAACAATAGTTTGTACTTTGTTCATGTATTGTATTGTATGTAAATATTTTTTTTCTCTTAAGCAAAACCAAACGACTTTTTTCAAAGCCACCGAAGGTATGCAACTGCTAATATGTCAAACAATCTATCTAGCAGTAGTATGCCTTCTGTGTGCTTTGTTAAGTACGTCCTCGACAGCACTGAATATGAAACTGAAGAGTGGAGACAGATCAAGATATCTTGGGCTTGCCCTAGTTTGGAGCCCTAGCTTCGGCATTGAACATGGTAGTCGAATTAGGTAAGAGACTACCCCAAGAGTATACTAGCTCCCCTGGTAATGAAGAATCCCTCACTGTGTATCCACATTTCCTACACATTACATATACATTTCCTGAGCTGAAAATTTCTGCAACATTAGGGCGCTTCACTCGAACTTTAACGCCGTCCATTTCCATCTGTAGACGGTGAAGCTGGCTTTTTTCTTTCTGTTCGAGATGCAGGTGTCCTCCGGCTGATAATTGGAACAGTCCTTTGTACCCAGGTCTAGAGTTTGCCTGTACGTCAGAGAGGATATCTTTTCTTGCCACTATATTTTTATTGAATAACGGTACCAATCCGTCTTTTCGCTTACAATGGTAATGCCGACACAGACCGACTCATCAACTACGTCCAAATGCCTACAGACTCCGTGCTATAATAGAACTCATCCGCAGATATCGTTATCCATGCCCTTGCCATGCCATTATTTAACGCCCACCACGCTGAATGGCTCGGTTCACTCTTCACGGATCTTCACGGATTTTCACGGATCATGCGGGAAGCAGTGGCAGACTCTCTTACAACTAGTTACTTTATCTGGATCACGCACATTCCCTGTCGACCCTTCTGCTGACCTCTTGTCCGGTCTACCTCTTGGGTCTTCGGACCATTGTCTGATCCTAATATCCTGAAAATATATTGGTCCTTCTCCAAAATATGACAGAAGACAATGATCAAACTATTGAAACAAGAATTGAGGCAAGTGTTCTTTACGATATACTTCAATTTATTGTGCAGTATGGGAACGAAAGCGTATTTCCGAATGTGCACATTTCCATTCAAATTATGCTCACAATTACAGTATCCATCGCATGTTCTGATCACGATTTCAGTAAATTAATATTTTCATATTTAAGGGCCACAATGGGTTAAGAAAGGTTATGCGACCTAGCTTCCTGTATAGGACAGTTACTTTACTCTTTGGACCTAGCTTTGCTCAGTGCAAGAAGAAACGGAAAACACCATCGATATGTTTGCGTCGCAGAAGGTCGGGAAGATGTTTCTTTTTAATTTGGTTTTTCTTAAATACATGGTCGGTGGTTAAGGCCTACAAAATTTTAGTGTTTTTGTTTAATAATGTATTTTATATCACTTTTACAATGTTATAAATGCAAATAAATCGTACGCTTTTATTACTAAACTAATGTCGTAGTCAAAAAAGACAGTGTGTCGGAGAATTAAGGCTTTGACATTAGAAGCTATTAAATTATGTGTAAATTATTGGTCCTGTCCCTAAGCTCTCTTGGACCGTGGCGGATTGCGATTTGATGATTGTGACGGAATAAGGAGTGCATCTGTACATTCGCATACATTCGGACACTATATTTTTCTGAACCGTGCTGATAGGCTAGTCACCGTGGATACTGGCCGCTGTGAGAAAAGTTCGGTTGGGAGGACACTCAACCCAACTTTCAACTCAACCTAACATTCATCTAAAGTCGAGGCACAACCGATGCACTGATGATAAGCACCAGGAGTTCGTTTGTTTGTCAATTTGGTCATCATTATACTAATGACTAAGTGCTGTTAGACGAGAAAAATTTTATTGAAGTGAAAACTTCTTTAGCGGCGTTGTACACTTTTTTGTAATGGGTAAAAAATGTTAAACTCGCGTCAGGACACGTGACCTGATCGAAAATTCGTAAGACGAAAACTTCTTTAGCGGCGTTGTACACTTTTTTTGTAATGGGTAAAAAATGTTAAACTCGCGTCAGGACACGTGACTTGATTGCAAATTCGTAAGACGGATGGAGAGTAGACAGCCGGTGTGGCGTAGGTGAGGAAGTATCCCCCTCTCTTTCTACGGCGCGGCGAAAATGAAATATAAATTGTCATGTTTGTGTACGATAGCGCAATGAATAAATATTGTATTCTACCACATAAATGATAGTACTTTTGTACTGATAAAGCAATTCGTGCAAAATTATTCCCTAACCATTCCAAAATATCAAAAATGCACAACGTTGATATTCAAGTTTTCGCTTCTGCCAGCACTCCTGAAGTGCAACCCGTCGTTTTTCTTTTAGAATTACTTAAGTCTTAATAACTGCATCTATCGCTTAGATTACTCTGATTACGGCACCCCAATAGTCCCCGTGGTAAAAAGAAATTGTGATATACACATTTGTAGTGATTATAAGATCACAATTTAGTACTACAATAACTAAGTTAAAAAGAGATTATTATCCGCTACCGCGCATTGAGGCATTATTTGCAAATCTTAGGGGAGGGGAAAAATTCACAAACATAGATTTAAGGCACGCGTACTAGCAGTGCATTCTATCAGACGATTCCCAACCCAATACCGCTATTACCACACATGGGTACTTTTGCGTACCGACGTACTCCTTACGGTATGTTGAGTATACCGGAGAAATTTCGTAAGTTAATGGAGGAGACTGCGAGGGGTGGCGGGGTGTGTTGTGTTCTTGGATGATATTTGGTGTTACGGGATCGAATAATGTAGAACATTTGAAAATTTAAGAGCTGTACTCGAACGGTTACGGCGCATGGGGCTTACCGTTAAACTTAGCATATCTAAATTATTGCAAGACAGTGTTAGAAATTATTTGGGTTTTATCATTAAGAATGGCTTGCGGACAGACCCTGAAAAATTTGAGGCCATTTCCAGTGCGCCTAAGCCGGATAATGTAACTGAACTTACAACTAAACTAAGTTTTTTGGTAATGCTAAATTATTCCAGGCGATTTATTTCCAATTTGAGCACTTTATCACAACCTTTACACAATTTATTTAAAAAAAATATCAGCTGGAAATGGGACTCTAATTGTGAGAAAACGTTTGTGGAGGCGAAACGATCTTTCCCAAAGGAGCTAGTGTTGGCGCATTACGACGAAGGGCGTGAGCTCGTTAAATCGGTTGATAGTAGCGCGTACGGACTGGGAGCTGTGCTGACACACTGTTACCCAGACGACAGCGAGCGTCCCATCAGCTGCGTGTCTCGCACACTCAATGCATCTGAGCGCAATTACAGCTCAACAAGGAAGTGCTTGCCATCCTATTCGGAGTAACTAAACATCATCAGTATTTATTTGGAAGACGTTTAATTTTGCGTACAGACCACCAACCGCTGACTTATTAGGGGTAAGGAAGGTATCCCACAAACGGCGGCTAGTCGTTTGCAGAAGTGGGCAGTGTGGCTAGCCGCGTATGATTTCGCGATAGAATTCATTCGATCGACGGAGAACGGGCCGCATGCTTATAGAGCGTGCTTGCTGATTTTGCAGGCAAGGCCTGCGGCATTTAATTGTAGTAGACGCACACTCTAAGTGGATTGAAGCAATTTCAATAGGTAATACGAATGCAGATTCCACGATTAATTTATAAGAAATATTTTATATCACGTAACTGATAACACCGTTTTTCTCCCAGGAGTGGAAAACATATTGTAAAAATAAAAGATTAAATATTATGTCTACTACCACGGCCCTTATCGACCACGGAAACGGTGGGGCGTAAAAACAGTCAAAGAGGCAATTAAAAGAGCTCTGTACGAGGGTGAGGATATTAACACGGCTCTTAACAAATTCCTTCTGTGAGCACAAGACGACGGGCGTGTCGCCGGCGGTAGCGCTGCAGGAGCGGCGGTTACGTGGCCGACTGAACGCACTGCGGCGGGATATGCACGCTGCACCAGTGGCAAATGAGACCTATCTGAAATCGGATGTACACAAAGATCAGTGGGCGAAGTGTTGGATGATCGCGATCAGTGCGGACGAAGCCCACCGCAAGTCGTTAGAGAAAGTGCAGTCTCCGCAGACACAGGCCGAGCAAGCACCGCCACGGCTTGTGCCTGGACCGAGGTTACCATAAATATCTGCTCGTGCCCTGCGAGCAGTAACGCGATTGTAAACTCATTAGATCGCTACGAACTGTCAAAGTTGTTTAGCAAAGTGTAGTTTGCTAAATAAAAAAACCGGCACGGAGAAAGGGACAAACAATCACACCGCTCTGTCTCACTCCTATGCAAGACGTATGCATAAATCTATCTTTTTCGTGTGCGAATGCGAAAGAAGGCGTCAATTTTTCTATAGGTTTCTCTGTCTATGTATGAAGGCGACAGCATAATAATAGTTTTTTATTTTGTTTTATGGTCTATTTACGTTATCTTTGGTTTTCGGATTTTGGTTTCAGAACTTTTCTCAAAGTGTCAAAACACGCTTTTTAGGAAAAGATGCATTTCTTAAGAATAACATAAAAAGTGCGAATTTATTGATATAAATTCTTTAAATTATGTCAGGAGGGCTCATAGATAAAGTTTATATAGGCTTGGACAATGCGCCGGCCGCATTTGATATAAAAGGCCGTTTGCTGGGACCAGTACGTGTTTGCCTTATTTTTAAGTTGTTATTTCTATCTTATTAAATATACTATCATTATTTATGTTTATTTTCAGAATGGCACCAACTTAGAGTATATTCGATCGGAGACTGGTGTTGTTGCCGTTTTAAAAAGTGACAAATTCGAGCCATTGCATTTGGCACTTCATCACACTAGATCAGAAGCTCTTGCGGCAGCGCGGTCATTAGCTCAAAATTTGATAGAGACTATACGAGCAGAGCTAGCGCAGTGGAGTGCAGCACAGGCTGGAGGGCCTCCACCGGCCTTGAATGTTCCACCACCAACATTGACTACGACAGCTGCTCCGCCGCCTATTCCACCGCCTGCTGTTACTGTATCGCTATCAACCCCTTCGTCATTAGCGACTAGCTCACACCAAACTGTCATCCCTCCAGTTGTCAGTATGGCCCCTGCAAGTACACCTCTAATGACTGTTCGGCAACCCACCGTTTTACAACTTCTACCACAACAGCAGTATGTATTAAATCAGGAAAATGGGCAGTTAATTCCTATAGTACAACCGGGAATGCAAGTTTCAAATACCAACTTTACCTCACTGCCAATTGCTCAACAGTTAAATACAATTCAACAACCAAATTTTGGGCACACACAAATTGTGGACATATCCAATATGCAGCCAGTGAATGTGACTCAATTAAGACTTAGTGGTGTTCCTTCATCTATGTCTATGATATTACCAAATGGACTTACATTTCCTCAAGCAAGCTTAGCTACAGGAGACTGTACCACTGTGAGCTCAGCTACATCAACACCAGTTGTGTGTGCTGCGCAGAGCACAAGTTCTCAGAAAATACTGTATAGTACGGACAAAGGTGACAAAGAAGTAAAGTATCATATACAAGGAGCTGACACAGTGCAATGGACTGTACCTGGATCACAGACAATGCTCATTCCATATCAACAATTTCAGGAACTAACTTCAAATCAAGCAGGACTAACAAATTTACAACCTCAACAATTTGTTTCAGTAAGTTGACATTTTTATGACACTACTATTTCACTTTTTTCTTCATTCATTCATCTATTACAGCAAATATAAGCACACTGCTGAACATAAATCTCTCCATAGCTCCTCCAAGTGACTTGGCAACTGGAGTTTTTAATATTAAGTAAGATGCTGCTGCCCATTTGTTTCAACCATAGGGTTTGGAGTATGGATTTCCTTACACAGCTGCACCCATAGGGTTGGAGTATGGTTTTCCTTACACAGCTGTACATGGTCATCCACAACTACATTGCCGGCCAAAAGTTTAAGACACATAATTACACATATTATCTATAAATTTTAATGAAATCCCATAAGATAAATAAAAGAAATGTGCACTAGGGTGGAGTGGAAATTTTTTTTCACCTTATCATAATCTAATAGTACGCAAAAGGTGCCTCTAGCAATCAAATTAAATCATGCAAAATATTATTTAGATTGATTCAGACTATCTGCCTCTGCAAGGTCATTGAAATTTTATAAAAAGATGATTTTCGACACAGGATTGACGCTATGTAAATATGCTATTATTCATTAAATTATTACATTTTGTTTTATTTTTTACTTTAAAATATAGTTTATTTTTATTATAAATCAATAAAAAACCAATTTTTTACATAAACTTACTTCAGTCAAGCATTATGGCATGCATGGGAAGTAATTTTGGCACCCGTGCGGGAAGTAATTTATCATGTCACTGCCAGTATGCTATTGCTTTTCAATATGAAAGGCCGCACTTTTATCTATTTCACAATATTTCTTGGTTGTTTGAAGCATGGAAAGAATCTTTGGTGCATTAAAGTGTCCCTTTTTTGGTGATATCCAAATTATTAAAGAGAACACCTTACCTATGTGTGAAGATGTGATGAAGTACTACGAGTGGGCCAGATATCAACTAATCTTGCAACTGGAAACTGAAAGAGTCAATATTTTCACAAATAGGAGATATTGTGGCACCTACAATTGAAAATATCTGGCAAACTGTGTCTATTCCTTACTAGATCACGAGTTATACAAATGTTAAATGCCTACCACTTAAAATGTAAAAATTAACTCAAGTCTATTAAGAAGCTCTCTTCAGAAAAAATGGATAATTTTCGTGAAAAGGTAATAAATATTACAGAACAATGACTGTTAAAGAGCACATTTCCTAATTCAGGAGCCGGGTTCTATGTACATGGGTTATGTAGTACCTAGAACTGATTCGGCGAAAGCAGTAGAATCAGCAATCACAGGGTTCTTAGCAAAGGAAAGTATTTCCCTAGAACATCTTGTAGCAATAGGTTGTGATGGGACTAATGTAAATTCTGAAAAGTGTAAAGTAGTAATAAGTACAACTCCTTGCAAAAGGCTATAAAGGCCCCTCCAACGGATTATTTGTTTACTGCATATAAATGAGCTGCCATTAAGGCATTTGTTTTTACATATTATTGGAAGCACTTCAGGACCCATGTGGTTAGTTGGAAAAGATACTGGAAATTTGTGAACTAATGTCAATTAGAAATTCCAATCCATAAAAGCATAATCACACCCAAAAATGCCCCAGATTTGAGCACAGATCAAAAGTACTTGCACGAGATCGTCTATGCGGTACAATTAAAGTTCTTTTCCAGAAAATCTAGTAAACAGGTCTCCAGGTGTGTTCCTCATTCTTTTCTACACTTTTCTAATACTCACACATGCTAATTGAATCCTACATTTGTATGTAGTAGCAGAGAAACCATCAGAGAATTTGATTGCTATGGCTACATTTGTTGTAAAAGGTTACACTCCAACTTGGTTCTCAATTAAAATTAAACTATATGTAAAGATGGAGCTTAACATCTATTTAAATTTATATTAGCCTCTGCCAGAATCATTGAAAGATGTGATCGATTTCGTCATTCAACGCAATAGCTACTTCGCACATCCTGGGAATTATGCTATTTGCAATTGATAAAAAGCACATTTGTGAATTGGCAGCCTGGTGTATATTAAAAGCATAGGGTATATAGCAATCCCCTGCACCAAGGCTATTCGAGATGCCTGATATTAATTTCATCGCAACAACCTACATTGATATGATAAATTGGCAACACACCATTACTGAATGGCCGATCTTGAAATATTTAAGTGACCAAGAAATTCAGGAATAAGTCCAATCTGGTGGTGAGGGTGAACTTTTGTTTTTACATCTCCCATGTCATACCCAGACTGTTGAGCAAACTGTGAAGTTGACGACAGAAGCAGCCATTTCTCAATGTAAGGATTCATCATAAATGGGGGCCATAAAAGCCAAATTGGAATCCCATAAGAAAATGCCAAAATTCGAGATAAAGAAAGATTTTAAGGCATATTGATGCTTTGACTTTTAAAACATATGATTGAATTTTGTTTCACTTTTTTATTAAATTACATCGTAAGTATTCTAATTATATTATTGAGTTTTATTTATAACCTCTAGTTAACTCTTATTTATTATTTATCTTAGCCCAAAACGAAAAGTACTCGATATCAAGTAGTATTGATACTTTTGATACGATACTTGGTATCGAGTACGTATTGATACTTTCAAAATATTCGGAACCCTACACTAATTGACGTTTGACGTCAATCATTTGTCAAATTTATTTTGTAATTGCGTGTTATTTGCCAATTTGTATGAAAAGTTTAAAAAAATATATCTAATGAACCGTAAGTTTCCGCAACCTAAAACTTTGCAAAACGCTTTCTTTTAGTGAGTACTATCTACAAAAAAAATATGGGCTTTGAAATCGATGGTCCATATTGGAAATATTAACCTCATAAAGCACTAATCCCGCGCAATTAGAATTTAAAATATGAAAAACATTTTTTTCATACAATGGCGCTCCACCCTAATGTACACCTGCATATTCTGTTGAGTACCTAGATGTCCGAAGCTCGTTATTTTTTTTTGAAAATCGTGTTTTTTTTTGTAAATTATATTTAGGTACAAATTACATACTGGTGAAATATGAATAAAATTTTTCAATCTTCTCAGTCATTATTTTTAGTGTTTGAACACAAATATTTTAAAAAAAGTGCTCCAAATAATAGATTTTCTCCCAAAAAAAAAGAGAACTTGAAAAAAAAAAAGGAACAACAGACAGACCGGAGACACTTGGATTCGAACCGGCGTTCTATGATTTCAGGACCGCCTGATATCCCATCTGAGCTGTTATAACCGTTAAGTGATTGGCAAAATTTACTTTCGTATTCTAATGATATTGTAGCAGTTTTTCATTGCCAGAAAACACGGATAAAACAACATTTTCTAAAAATGAATCCTAGCTAGATCGATTTATTGCCCCCAAAACCCCCTGGACACTAAATTTTATGAAAATCGTTGGAGCTGTTTCCGAGAATTGCTCGTTTAAGGGTATTAGATTAGATAGATAGATATCAAATATCTAAAGAAGTCATTCTTTTATTCACTTTCATGTTATTGGACAATAAACATGTATTGTTTTCAAACATCCACAAATGCTGCCTTAGAGCCAGGTGGTAGAGTCGTAATAATATTTTTAAGATGGGCTAATAACTGATTACTTTGCTTTTGTTTCCCATTGGTTAATAATTAGGATTATTTAGCTTCTAAAAACATGTGTTCCTGACTTATTATTACCTGAATTTACATGGTTTTGTTCACAAATAATCTCAATTAGTCTAAACTTGTGGATTGTTGTTACCACCAAGCGAAATAGATGCTTAACAGCCCCGGAAATCCGCGTTTAAGTAAAAAAAAACCCGAGTCAAACCTTTATCATTGACTACAATAAAACTGTGACTGAGAGATGCGAAATTGTATGGTCGTGTCGTGTCACAAAACAAGAAAAAAACGGATGCAATGGGCCCTTGCCAATCGAGACTGGACTGAAGAAGATTTTAAAAAAAGTTCTTCGAACTGATGAATCCAAGTTTGAGTCATTTGGTTCAAAATGAAGAATTTACATATGACGCAGTGACCAAGAAAAGATGATGCCAGACTTGTATATGCGACTACACCCAATAATCAAGCATGGTGGTGGCTCAGTTATGGTCTGGGGTTGCTTTTCTAGCCAAGGAACTGGCGATTTGATCAAAATTAACAGACGTATGAAAAAGGAAGAGTACAAAATAATTTTAGAACAAAATGCCGTTCCGACAATGATCCTAAGCATAGCTCAAAATTATGCAGAGAATATTTGGATTCTCTTCCAAATATTGAAAAAGGCACAAAGGGTGTTAAAAAACGTGGTTTGGCCTACTCAGAGCCTGGATCTCAATCCCATTGACCTTTTGCAGGAAGAGCTTGATAGGAACGTCCGTAATTGTAGTCCATCCTCGCGAGAAGAAATGTGGAATGCTTGTTGTCAAAAATTTGGAGCAATATATCATAAGACACTATCAACAAATTGATTGCCCGTATGCCGAGACTTGTGTAAAGTCTTAAAATGCAAAGGAAGATTTTTTGATGAAAAATCAGTTTAGCTAACTATAGCCTTTTTTAGCATCATCATCATTACACACCTTCACAAGTCCACTGCTGAACATAGGCCTCCCTCAAGTAATGCCACAAAGCATGGTCCTGAGCCACCTGCATCCATCGATTTCCTGCATGTCTTACCGAGACGTCACTCCATCTAGTGGGGGGTCGCCCTACACTACGCCTACCAGTGCCTTCGTCTCGAGAACCTTTCTTCCCCATCGGTTATCTGTTCTTCGAGCTATATGGCCGGCCCATTGCCACAGCTTACTAATCCGTTGGGCTATGTCGGTTACCCTGGTTTTACTGCGGATAACATCATTTCTGAGTCTATCACGCAGAAAAACTTCGAGCATAGCCCTCTCCATAGCTCGCTGAGCGACCTTGAGCATCCTCATACGGCCAGCAGTGAAGGACCACGTCTCAGATCCGTAAGTCATCACTGGCAACAACACTGGTTGTACATATAGTTGTCAGAGTTTGAGATATAACTGAAAACTTTTTTAGCATGGACTGT